CAGGCCGATGCACACACAATCAACACACACAGGCCGATACGCACAATCAACACACACAGGCGATACACACACATAATTAACACACAAGCAGCTAAAACACAGGCTGATACAAACAAGCACAATTAAAACACACAGGCAACTAATACAAAGGCTGATTCACAGATGCTACAACTAATACACACAAAGGACCTGCACATTCCACAATAATCACAGGAGGGGACAGGGTTACAGTCTGTGAAGAAGTGAGGGGTCTGTAAGTGTGTCTGTGGAACTGTACCTGTGTGCGTTGCTGTGCTCCCAGAAGGCTCTCCCTGGCAGTGAGGCTCATGGCAGGTGTCCTTCAGGCTCAAGCACTCCTTCCCCTCGTAGCCCTGGGGACAGGCACACAGGTAGCCACCCTCCGTGCTCTGACACGGCGCCCCCTGCTGGCATGGGTTGGGATTGCAGAGGTCCAGCACTTCCTACGAGACGATCAGTGACACACAGTGACTTAAGAGCCACTGCCACCCAGACTTCAGAGCACCCCTGGGTGCTCAGTCAAATCAGTGTTTAACTGCATTGTTCAGCAGAGAAGCAGCACTTTTACGATGATTAGAGCTCTGAGGGATCTCAGACAGACTGGGAAAACCATGGAGAAAACTGGGAGTTTCATACAAACCTCACAGTGTTTCCCACTGTAGCCTAGGGGGCAGTGGCACTGCGGAGTCTCCTCTTCCTCAGCACAGTGTCCTCCATTCAGACAGGGGGCACTGTCACAGTGGCTCGCCCTGGTCTGGCAGTAAGACCCTGTGAAGCCCGGAGGGCACTGACACCTGTAGCCTGTCAGAGACTCCTGGGAAGAAAGAAAAAGAGGTTATGACAGACTCACTTCCAACTCTTCTGCTCAACTTGCACAAGGAAACAAACTTCCAGAAACAAGGAAACAGTTCTGGGAAAACAGCCAGTTCCAGGAAAACACTCCGGAGAGACGAAAGGAGCATATCTGTAGTGAAACATGTGAATTTGATTTTAAGCCATAACTTAAGTGTTTTTTTACACTTGTGCAGTCCTGAGCTGGCTTTACCAAATACTGATTTCCCTTGTGTTCCTGTGTACAATACACATATACACTGCCTTACCGTGGCATATATCAAGAATTACCCCAGCAGCAGGTACGTGCACTTCTAGTGGCAATTAAAGCAACAGTTCAGCAGCTTCTTGCAGCCTGATTTGTCTGCTGTCCCTTGATACTGTCTCCGTTCACAGTTAGCCATGTATGCTGTTGCCTTCAGTGGCAGAAAGAAGGCAGATGTAGCAGCAATCACATGAGGTCATGTGCATCACCCTTCTTTTTCCTTGCATGGCACCATGAGGAACTGATACTACTTTGCAGTTGACAGGAATCATGGGGCAAGGCCCTCTGTTACCACTGTAGGCAGGATGGCTCACTCCTACAGCACAAGTCATTCACCAATCTGGAAAGGCTGGAGTACATATTTTGGAGTACAAAAAGCAACACGCGGGTATCTTATCCCTTCTGTTCCCAAGCCTTGCTGGCACAACAGAGGAGAGATGGCCTACCTCACACACGGCCCCATTCTGACACTTCCCCTGGCAGGTGTGGTTGGCTGGAAAAGAAGCACAAGAGGTGTCAGTGCAACACAGCTCAACGCACGACGGCTGTGCACCCCAGAGCCATGACATCTGCTACAGGTGCAAGAGGTGCCATGTGGAATGTGTTCCTGTGTCCAGCGGCAGTCCACACCGCCAGTCGCAGGCATCCCTGGTGGCCACTGGAGGGCGATGACGCCCCCTGTTTCCAGAAGCTTATAAAGGCAAGGTATCGGGCACACGCTAAGGTCAGATGGAGCTGACAAGGCACTCACTGTCCTGTTCACAAGTGCACCAATTATCGCCTTCCCCCTGCGGTGCTCACTTCTCGCCTTACATTTTGCCTAGACCAGCCAACACGCTGGCATTAATATAGCAAACCTGGAGGCTCTTTGCAGAACCAAAACAAAGTGTCAGAAAGAAACGATCTAGTGCTGGGACTTAAAAACGGACAGAGCTGCTGACTCTCTGGCAACACAGGGGATTTTGCCCGGCTATCAGAGGGCCCCAGGGTGCTGCCCAAGGTTTTACAGAGGCACTGTGGGAGTGGACACAGGCCTGGTCAGTCACGGGCATTGAAACCTGCTTAAAACTCAATGCAGTCTTTGAGCAGAAGAGTGTAAATTGCAACCGGGTGGCCAGGGAACCTTCAAACCAGCCCTACAACCCTTGTTTTGGGACAGAGGACACAAAGACAACGCGGAAGCCTTGTCTGAAATGTCCACCAGTCAGGACACCTGCTGCTTATCACACCATGTGCCTGGCAGCGTCAGAGCTGCGATAAGAACACAGGGCAGGTCCCAGTCGAGATGAAGCCATTCGACCCGGCTGGGTGGTTCGGTAGTTAGTCTTATTCAGCTGATTCTTTTAAGAAGTCAGGGTTTCGGCTTCAACAACATATCCGAGACACTTGTCTCACACTCCCGCCACCCCTCAAAGTAAAGAAGGACTTTGTTCTAGGTTTTATATTCACTTCCACGCAGTTCCACTGCTCATTCGGAAGAACAGGGGCTGATCAGTGCCTCTGATCTGATGCAACACTGGCCAGGACTGCTGCAGATCTCACACTCTGTGCTCCTGTCCCGATGGCCCTGTCTGTGCCTGGAGGGGCGACTCCCCTCTACTCACTGATGTCGCAGTCCTGCCCGGTCCAGCCTGGCTGACAGTCGCAGAAGTATCCTCCGATCAGATTGTGGCACGCCACAGCATGGACACACACCCCTCTGTCACACTCGTTAGTGTCTGGGACAGATGGAGAGAAAAAAAAACATGAAAAAAAATCAATGTTTTGTTTACTGTTTTCATCTCTGCAGAAGCCCTTCCAGAATCACGGCAATCTCCTTAATTAAACCTAATCTCAAAGGCACAAATGTCACATCAACGGGTATTGACTGCGGTAAAGGATATATTAAGAACAGGTACAGGATTGGATTTCCATCATGACAGTGCTCTTGGAGGGCAGCCAAGCCTGTGATTGATTCAATTGCGATGTCACGTGTGTCCATCACGGTGAAGAATTGATCTCTTATTCCCTCTCTCTCCTGCGTGTGTATCGAAGAAGAAGCACTCTTAGGCTCCTCTCTGATGAGAGGGCGATATATCACGCCCGCCTAGCTCTTGCCCTGCCTGTGACCGGAGAGAGAAACATGAGCCTGAAACCCTGAAGCCATGAATACTAAGGGCCAGTGCTCACGGTTACCAAAAAGGCATTTTAATCCGAAGAGTGTCACCCTGTTTACAACTTTGTGAGCTGCAAAATGCAAGTCTGCATATCTTCATTTATTTTCAATCTGCAGCGATCGGCAAGACCAGTGACAAGCCCCTTCTAAACTGAATCACAAGCAGCCATAACCAGGACTTCTTCGTACTGCCGGTTTCGACTCCAAGACTAACACTACTGCTTTGAGTAAGTGAGTAAATGAGAACTACAGGGACACCCGAAGCAAAACCCAGGGCATAGCACGGAGTGGACTGGAGCACCTGAATTGGCTTTGTGGGGTGTACGGAAACGGGACGCTGATTCTTGTGCAAAAAAAGCGGATATGAATGCCAAGGAACTGAGAGAAAATTGAACAATTCAATTTCTATCAGTCTTGAGCCCGGGCTGGAATCCTGCTCTCTGGGCTCAGGCTGGGGCCAGGCTGGGGTCAGGCTGGGGTCAGGCTGTGGCCTCAGAGGCAGGGGGGCAGCACCTGCTGGTCAGAACCACTGCCCTTGCTCTGACGCCTGTCGGCACGCAGCTTACCCAGCTGGCACGTTCTGCCGGTCCACTGCGGTGGGCAAAGGCACTCGAACCCGTGCTGGAGCTGCCGGCACGTCCCCCCCTGGCTGCACGGATTGGGCTGGCACTCGTTCACGCCTGCGAAGGGGCGGAGAGACAGGCTTTAGGCGGTCACTCATTTCCAAGTTCGCCGGCCCCAGCCTCGTGGTCCGGAGGGGGGGATATCCGGTCTCAGCACCAGCTCACTCACACCCCTCCCTCCTGCTCTCGCAGCGTGCCGAGAACGGGCTGGGCGCAGACGGCACAGATCAGCCAGTTCCAGCGGGCTCTCTGTCTGTCTGGGCCAGTTCTCATTCCTGTCGAGGCGTGGCTGGCGGCGCCCCACCCCCGCCAGGGCCCACTCCTGTGAGGCGGTGAGAAGGCGGGGGGGGCGGGGGGGGGATCGGGGTGGCAGAGCCAAAATGGGTTCTGTTCCTACCTGCCTGGATCCACGCCCCCAGCTTCATCCAGCTCAGCGCATGTTAAACCACCCCCTTCACTGAAACATCACCCTTTCATACGCAGCAATAATGACACCTCTCTTGACAGCACTAGCTGCACGGGCTGGCCTGCTACAACATGTGGGCACAGTCCCAGGCATCTGCTTTCTTAGGCCAAACCAAGACACTGGACTTTATGAGACTGTATTCTTCACTCTGGGCAGGCTGACTGCACACAGAAAAGCCTGCAATATCCACACCGCCCTCGTGACAGTGTACACTGGAATATGTACTGTAGGAGTGTCCGGTGTCATGGTGCACTCTGAAGCTAGAGGGAGCCACAGACAGGCGCCTGGTCAAGCCACTGTGAACTCATGCAGTGTAAAAGACACACGACTGCAGAAAAGCCTTGAAACTACATGGAACAGGTGGCAGGTTATTTGGGAGTTTGGGAGCTGCTGTCGCTGAAATCAATTTCTTTCAAGGAAAAGCCTGCATGGGACACGAGGATCAATAAGTTACTGACTACCAAAGCTAGAAGAGCCAAATGGCCACAACTAGAACCATAGCAGCGAGCAGAGAGCCCTGAGCAATGCACAGCACAGGACAGGTGGGAGGGGGTGGGGCCAAGGGGCAGGACAGGTGGGAAAGGGGCATGGCCCAGGGGCAGTACAGGTGGGGAAAAGGGAGTGGCCCAGGGGCAGGACAGGTGGGAGGGGGTGGGGCCAAGGGGCAGGACAGGTGGGAAAGGGGCATGGCCCAGGGGCAGTACAGGTTGGGTAAAGGGGCGTGGCCAATGGACAGGACACTTGGGTAAGAGGGCATGGCCCAGGGACAGGACAGTTGGAAGGGGTGTGACCAAGGGACAGTATTGATAGGAGGAGGCGTGGCCAATGGACAGGACAGACAGAAAGAGGGCGTGACCAATGGGCAGGGCAGGTGGGAAGAGGGCGTGGCCAAGGGGCAGGGCAGGTGGGAAGAGGGTGTTACCAAGGGAATGGGACAGGTGCGAGGGGGGTGTGAAGCAACAGGATGCAGATCTAACCTCTTTCACAGATCAAGGAGCTCGGGGTCGAGCAGCAGCCCCGGATACTATTTAAAGGGTTCGTAATCCGGTTAAGGTATTACCTGTCTGGTCCATTCAAGGCACTTGCCAGATACGTACATTTCATCTGAGCCATTCGAGGCTCACAAGCCAATTACTTAACCGGCTTAGTCCCAGAGTCAACATGTGGTGTCTTGTGAGAATAAAGGTGTTCTAGGTGAGGTCACGTCAGAGAGGGAAGCTCCCGGGGCAGAGTGCTGTAGGCTTTCACCACAATCTGACTGCACATGACTGCACTTTACTAGGCTTTTACCATGATACGACTGCAAATTACTGCATCTTACTGTGCTTTTACTATGATCTGACTGCACTTTACAGCATCTTATTGTGCTTTTACAATGATCTGAATGCACGTTACTCCATCGTACTGTGCTTTTACCCTGATGGTTTGACAAGAAGAGTCACTTTCAAGTAGACATAGCTGCGACAGTTCCAGGAGCTGTTCACTGGTCACTGGTCAGGCTGGGTTACCTGTGGTACAGCTGGGTCCAGTCCAGCCCTCGGGACACACACAGTAGAAGCCCTCAGCCTCCTCTACGCAGGTCCCTCCATTGGCACAGGGGTTGGACAGACACGCGTGCTCCACTGCAAACAC